AATGAGTTAATGCCGAGTCAGCATTTCGTCAGTGAACGAGTTATTAATGCTGAGTCAGCGTGTCTTCAGAGAACGAGTTATTAATGCTGAGTCAGCGTGTCTTCAGAGAATGAGTTAATGCCGAGTCAGCATTTCGTCAGTGAACGAGTTATTAATGCTGAGTCAGCGTGTCTTCAGAACGAGTTATTAATGCTGAGTCAGCGTGTTGTCAGAGAATGAGTTAATGCTGAGTCAGTGTGTCTTCAGTGAACGAGTTAATGCTGAGTCAGCAAATGTGTCAGAATTTGACCGTCTTAGGCTACTTTTAGCCTTCGGCTGGTGTTTCGGCTCGTTGTAGCTTGAACAACGTCCTGCAGCTGCAGAGTTCCAACCCACCCTGTACGGGAACAGGAGCTGCCAGGAAACAGGATCAGGGTCCCGTCTGTGTTAACCAGGTCCGGGTTCTGCACCGCAGACGGAGGACTCCTGACTCTCTGAGCCACGCCCTCCTCTTCCTCCTTCACCTCCTCTTCCTCACCTCCCCCCAGTAAATCCTCCACACCCTGTCGCAGAGGACAACAAGCACAACTGTAAACCAAAGCTTTTATTTTGAAGGCAAAGCCAGGAACCAAACATCTTCACCTCCTCTTCTTCAGACTCGTCCGTCATCTCCTCCTCCTCCTCCTCCTCCTCGTCGCAGTCTTCGTTGTCCAGACGATGCAGCTCAGCCCTGCGGGCTCGCTCCTCCTTCCTGCGCTGGGCCATGGCGAGCTGCAGGCGCTGCTTCAGGGTCAGCAGCTTCTCTCCTGGAGACAGGCGGTCCAGTGAGCCGTCAGAACCATCAGAACTGGTTCTGACAGGGGCCAAGGATCAAACAGACCTGGTTTGGTGGCTCCGGACTCCTCGGGACCCTCTTTAATGGTGACGGCGAGGGACTCGGAGCGCAGCTCCTCCTGTCCAGAGGGGGCGCTGTCTTTGCGGACGACGGTGAGCTGCAGGGTGCGCTCTGCTGCAGGACGTCCAGGTGTGTGCAGGTGGCGCAGGTAGCGCTGCTTCAGGGCCTCCACACCTGGGGAGAGCAGAGAGCACACAGTGACACCTGCAGGGTTCTAATGGACCGGTTCTGGGACCTGACGGACCAGGACTCACCGGGGTTGGTCTGCGGAGCCTCGAGCTGCACGAAYGCTCCGTCATCTGGACACAGCTTAGCAACAGGTGGGGGGTCCAGTCCCAGCTCCTTCAGCCGGGTCAGCTTGTCCCGCTTCGGTTTGCTGGGCTCCAGTACCGGGTCTGGGTCTGGAAGAGGTTCTGTTGGAAGGACTTGGTCCGGACGGGGTGTCGGGTCTGCAGCTCCGGGGGACTCCTGCAGACTCTCTGAGAGGTACAGCATCGGACCGGAGTCCGGCTCTGGGTCCAGGCCCGGGTTCTCCTGCAGAGGGGAGGAGGTGGCTGCAGGCTCCAGTAGAGGCTGGATCTGATTGGACGACACCTCCAGAGGGGGAGGAGCCTCGTGCTCTGTGTCAACAGGAGGAGGAGCCTCCATCATCATCTCTGAGTACTTCATGGACCTGAAACGGGTCAGAACTTTTTAACGTGTCACAGTTTTACAGGAAAACATCTGAAGCTCTTATATTAGAGCTGACACTAACGATTATTAATAATCCATTAATCTGATCATTATTTTTTAATTCATCTGTCAAATCATTAAAACACTTAATTACATAAATATAAGTAGAAATAAATCATTTCCTGTATAAATTAGAGATGTAAATTATGGATTAATGTAAAGTTGATTTATCTTATAGATTAACTGATTAGCAGCCATTTTATTAAAAACCAGAGTTTTATTGAATCAAGTGGGTCTTTTCATAAAATGATTTTTTAAAAATAATATGCTAAATTAAAAAAAGAAGCACATCATTAATATTTTCACGACTTGATTTTGCAGCTGTATTAAACACTGGAAAAAAAAGGTGGATTTCTCATACATTAATAAACTTGGTTATAGTTATAAAACATAACAAAACAGAAATTTAATAGGTTGCTGAACGAGGAAAACAGATAAAAAGAGTAAAATATGATTTTTAGTTGTAAAACTATTATTAATTTGTTATTATAATTAGAATTTACTTGCATTTAGATTTTATGATTTTTCTCTGATTCTTTATGTTTTGCTTCCTYCTTGTTGGTTCTGTCTGTGGCTAAAATGGTGCTTTACGACCCAGTAAGCGGTTCTGAAGCAGCCTCCCCTCTCCCTTACTGAGTCAGACCAGGAGTTCTGCTCGCGTCTTTTTTTTACCTGAACCTTTTTGCTGCTTATCAAATAACTTTGATCCTCGGTCAGAAAAAAAGACTGGAGGGTTTTATATTTCTGGCTCAAGAGGAGGAGGGAACAAATGGTGGACTGAGGGTTTTCTTTCCTCCTGCTTCCTCCTTGCAGCGCGGTGCGCATCAAATCAGACCGTCATTTAAAAAAATTAAATGTAGCATATACTTCTTAACTTCAGATCTACTTGGCCTAACAACACAATTTAAAAACTGGTCTAAAATTTGAAGTCTCTACTTTTCACTCGAGGGTCTCAGAGAGGGCGGATCTGTACAGGTAGAGTTTTTTTTTCTTCCTAAACTTTATTTAGGTCAGCCAGCATTGACAACTCTGCGGGTGACGTAAACGGCTCCGCGACATGGCGAGGGACGCATAAATCGTGCGACACGACGAATCGATAAAAAGGCTTTTAATAATCGATTTTTTATTGATTTTATCGATTCGTTGTTGCAGCCCTAGATTAAACATTGTTCAGCATCTTTGTTTTCGTTTAAGACTCTTATCTCTCTACTACTTATTATTATTATCATCATTTTGTAGAAAGTTTAGTTGTGTTAAAAATTGTGTAAAATGTTTTTAAGCTTGATGTTTTCCAGTAGCATGAGTGCAGAGTTTGATTGGGACTAGTTTTTTCTTCTCCCAGGCCAGAGTTCTCTGTGTTTGTGGGGGACTTGGCCTCTGAGGTGGACGACTTCCAGCTGCATCAAGTATTTAAGAAGTACTCATCCTGCAAAGGAGCCAAAGTAGTCACTGACCAGTATGGATACTCAAAGTACGTGAGCTGCTGTTTGTGGACCATACATTTTATTTGTGATGTATTAGTACATTTTTATTGTGACGTGGACAGTACCATAACAAGTACGTCCTGTTTTTTTGTGGTGTAATGATTATTGGGATAGCAGTGCTGTGGACGCTGAAGCACTACTGCATCTTCATCTATTTTTCGACAAAGGCTGATGTTTTCTTGCCGTCTTATGCTAAAACTATTGTTTTCCCCATATAGGCTAAGCAAGAGCAACTCACAATTCAAGTGATGCTACCTCATGTTAAAAGTAAAACAGCAAGTTTCAGTTCTACCATAATAATACCCATTATATTCTCTTTTCTCATAAGTGGCTTTACATGGCAAGTATGTGGTGGGCTGTGGTGGGCAGAGGAGGCGTAACTCTCATCTGATTTACAGAGGCTACGGCTTCGTAAAGTTCGGGGATGAGAGCGAGCAGAAGAAGGCGATTGACGAGTGCCAGGGTACGGTTCTGGGGGGGAAATCGCTCAGGCTCAGTATCGCTGTCGCAAAAAGGTGAGATGGAAACAACTTATTAAATGTGAGTCGACAAAAAGAGTTCTTCCACTCCTATAAACRTGTTTTATCTTTCAGCTTTTTAACAATTTGAAGCTTAATAAATGATGGTTTCTGTTTCGATGACTCAGAGTATAAATGCTCTCTAACAACAGCCCCCGCTCTCTGAGTTTATAAAACTTTGTTTCTTTTGTTGTTTTGCAGCCAGAAGACACCCAACTACCAAGTGGGGCAGGGTCAGAGCTACCATAGCAACTATAATCAGACGCAGTCCGGTTATTATGGCGGTCCTGCGGCTGGTCAGGGGGGTTATTACTCTCAGTGGGGCGGCTATGACCAGTACAGCRCCTACAACAGCGGAGCCTATGGGAGCGGCTACAACAGCAGCTACAACAGCGGCTACAACAGTGGCTACGGCTATAACTATGGTCCCTATGGATACCCCCCACCAGGACACATGATGCCACCGCCCCCCATGGGGATGCCACCCATGACCGCTGACATGACAGGAGCTGTACAGGTAAGTACACAGCCTTCACACCTTTCTCACTTGCTAATAGGGTTGGGGCAATATTGGCAAAAAAAATTACCGTATTTCATGTATAATACGCTCATCATTTTTTGAGCTTAAAGGGATCCCTGATTAGTTGTAACATTAGACTTTATTTAATAAACATATATTTTAACTGTAAAATAAAGACTGTAAAAATAC